CGTCCCCCCGTGGGCCCGCCCCCCCCGACCGACGCTCCCTGGGGGCAGCCGTGGTCCCCGGGGGCAGGGCCGTGTCGCTGCCCGCTCGCCCTTGGTGGAGTCCTTGGTACCGCGGGAACGCCAGCCCCGCCGGGATCCCCCCGCTGTGCAGGGGGCCTCGGGGCTGGGCTGACGGGGGCTCGTGTCCCGCGCACCTCTCGAGGCTGGGAGATTGAGTCCCCCAAGATGGGGCCTTTGCGGGCGAGGGTTTGGAGCTATGGCAGGGCGGGAGGGTCCCTGGGGGCAGGGGCTGCAGGGCGGGAGCGAGGGGCACCCGCAGGGGAGGTGGGGTCCAGCTGCGAGGCCGAGGCCGTAGCCCCTGAAACCCTCCCGGCGCCGGCAGAAGCGTACGCAATCGTGTGCGTGCGCGCGCGGCGTGGACGTAGCAGCTTAGCATTGGCGAGCTCGTGTTCGTGACGTGTAACGCCTGTCGGCCGAGGGACAAAACGATTCCACTCGCTTAACGACGTGTCCTGTCACTGCTGCACGGTATCAATCTTTATCAGCCCGGGCACGTTATACGATAGCCTGTAATAGCACTTCGGCTTCCTGTAACGCGCCGTTAATGACTTCCCTGCATATTCATGTGGCTGCCCACGATAATGCGTGCCGTAGTCGCTCATCAGCCCGTCCAACATGCCAGTCATGACACACGTGCCTGTTAACATGGAATCGCTTCCTGATATGTGCTGCAAGAGCACAGTAGCGTGCTATGATCTGCCATTCGTGAAGTATCTGCATAGGAATATGGAGATGAAGTATATATAATCCACGCAGACAAGCAGGCCAGAGAGCCCTGCCGGGCCACGTATCACGAGCTGCATAGGAATAGGGTGTTACCGTGTTTGCTGGCATACCACGCGCCCCCCCCAAGACAACCGCAGCCTTGTTTTGGGACCGCAGCGCAAGTAACAAAAATAAAGACCTTGTCTTGAATATACCACGGGCCAAATAGCATCATGTGCTGTGCTAGCGCAGCAGTACACTCTAACGATCTACGCTCTTCGTTAAGGGAAGGCCCCCCTGTCCCTTAACGAAGCCCCTGCATATGACTCTGGAGACGGATCCTAACGTATGCGGTAATGGAACAGCAGTGGGCCCCAGCGGTACATGAATGAAGTGCCTGCACGTAAGCATGGAGGGATGTTGTGATGTACGCGGTGAGAGCCCAGCGGTGCGCGGTAACGTTGCACCAGGGCAACTCTGGCGCGTTAATGTGGAGCTGGGTTATAACATATGCGGCGGAAGCGCAGCAGTGTGCGGTAACAGGCCATGAGTGATGGAGCTGCATATAAATAGGGAAGGATACTGCAATATATCCAGGGGTCGGTGCCCTGTAACTGCCCCGATGCTGCACGCGTATAGTATATTCATGTGGAATCCCATCATCTTCCATGCACTGACTGACCTTGGGCCTCAGAGCTGATATCCTGCCGGCTGATTTCCTCGCTGGGGCAGGAAAGAGCTCAGGGTAGGGCCTGGTTGCAGCCATTTGCACCCTTCGGCTATTTCTGCCTTCGTATAAGCCACTAGGAGATGTTCTGTGGTTTTGAAGCTGTCCCCCCCTGCCCCACCTTACCCTCTTCCTGCCATCATTAGGTGCCAGGGTGAACAGCCCTACGGTTTGCAGGCATTGCCCTGAGCTGCCTTGCTCCTAAGTCGCTTCGCGTGTTGCTGCTAGGTTCGAGTGAACACCCGGCTTATAGGAGGGAGATGCGGGCACTGGCCGTCCCAGGCCCCATCTTCATTAGCTTCCAGAGCAAGAGCCTGTTGGTAGGAAAAGAGGCTACGTGGTTTGGCAGGCATCAGCTCTCAGCCCCAGACGTGCCCTCTGTGTGTTCGCGTTAGGCACCAGAGTGAACGTGCTGTTGCTCAGGGTCGCCTGGTTCTGCAGACAGCATCTCCCTGCCCCAGGTGTGCCCTTAACTTGCAATCATTATCATGAGTTTCCAGAGCAAACATGCCATTACTGTTAAAAGGGTCACCTCATTTTGCCCTTCCCACCCCCAAAAGTATCTGTCGCCTGCCATCATTAGTTTCCAGAGTGAACACCCCCCTGTAATTTGGGCTACCTGGTTTTGCAGGCTGCTGCCCTGAAGTGTGCCCAAAATACTCCCCCATTAGTTTCAAGAGTGAGCGCACTGTCACTGTAAGGGGGGGATTACCTTGTCTTGCCCCTCCTGCACCCATATGTGCCCTCCATATGCCATCATTAGTGTCTAGAGTGCGCACACTGTCACTATGGAGGGGGTTCCCTGGTCCTTCCACCTCCTGCCCCAAGTGTGCCCTTAACACGCTCCCAGTGAGTTTCAGAGTGAAGGTGTTGCCACTGTGAGAGCCTCTTGCCCAGCCAGCTCGTCTTGCCCACTGTAGCGAGGCAGGGGCCCAGGAGCCTTCCTCTCCTCCGCCAGCTCCAGGGGATGGTGAAGGCTCTGCCATTGTCCCCACGCACAGTGACTTGGGGACCTGGTTCAATCGTGTCATTGTTGGGGAGCCCCCTTTCCTGGCAGGGACTGGGCTCTTGCCTCCGTGGGACGAGGCCTAGGCCAGGTCTTCCTTAGGCTTCAGAGTGAACAGCATGTTGAAGGGAAAGGAGCCTGCCTAGCCTCAACATGTTCACTCTTGTACCTAGTGATGACACACCACAGGGGCACTTGTCATCCTTAGGCACCAGAGTGAACACACTGTTGATCTAAAAGGGGGTCTAACGAGCTATCTGCCTGTATGGGGGAGGGGGGGGTGTACTGTGTGTGGATGTGTTTTTGCAGCCACTGAAAGGCGTTGTGGGGAGCGGAGTGCAGGTGCGAGTGGACTGTGACAGGTGTGTGCGTGGGCGGGTGGATTTGGTGGGGCCTGGCACATGGGTGTATGAGCGGCATGAGCGTGCGTGGGCACTGAGATAGGCATTTGCATGGAGGATGGGCTCTATGTAGGTGCGTGTGGATGATGCGTGTGCGGCAGGCAGGTGGGTTTGGTGGGGGGGTGACGTGCGTGTATGAACTGCATGTGTGCACGTGGACTTTGACAGGCATATGCGTGCGCGAGGCGGGCTGTATGTGGGTGCATGGACGATGTGACAGGCGGGTGGATTTGGTGGGGGTGACGTGGATGTATGAACTGCACAAATGTGCGGGGTGCGTATGGGAATTGTGACAGGCATGTGCATGTGTGAGGTGCGCTGCAGGTGCATGTGGCTGGTGTGACAGGCGTGTATAGGGGTGGGTGAATTGGGTGAGGGGTGTGACCTGGGTTTATGAACTACATGAGTGTGCATGGAGACTGACAGGTGTATGCATGGGTGGGGATGGACTGTATGTAGGTACATGTGAATGGTGGGGAGGCGTGTGGACTGCATGTGTGTGCATGTGAATTGTCTGATAGCCGTGTCTAAGGCAGGTGTGTGGATTCATGTGGATTACATGTGTGTGCATGTAGATAGTGACACGTGTGCATAGAGCAGGGGGGTGGATTTATGTGGATTGCCTATGTGTGCATGTGCATTGTTGTGACATGGATTCAGTGTGGGTAGCATGTGTGTGCATGTGCATTGTCTGTGACATGCGTGTGTGGGCAGCCAGGTGGATTCAGTGCGGGTTGCACGTGTGTGCATGTGCGTTGTCTGTGACACCCATGTGGGCAGGCAGGTGGATTCAGTGCTGGTTGCACATGTGTGCGTGTGCATGGTCTGACAGACACGGATGGGGCAGGCGGGGGAGTGTGACACACAGGGGCATGTGCCTCACACGTGTGTGGCCTGTCTGTGACAGGCGTGTGCGTGTGTGTCAGCCAGGCAGGCCTTGCTCCTTTGGGACAGGAAGTGGAGCTTCGTGCCTGCGCTAATTGGAGCTGTGGTGGGCAGCCAGAGCCCCCCAGCCCCCTGCCCTGGGGGGCAGGGAAATGCACCCCAGCCCCCTAGACCCCCCCCCATTCCCTGCACAGTCGCTATAGCAACACAACATCCTTTTCCTCTTATCCTGCACCCCCCACCCCAGCTTGTCTCCACCCCTTGGCTGCTCCCAGCCCTCAGGCCCCTCCGCTCCTGAATAAATGATGCCCGCGGCTCTTAATGCGCCACGATGAATTGGCAATTAACTAACGAGGCCCCACGGACTCCGGCAGGCTGGGCTGTGCTGGGCTGTCCCTGCCTCCGGATCCTGCTGGTGGCCGTCCAGGTCCCGGATCCATCTGGTGGGGGTGGGAGGGGGGGGCAGTGGCTGGCCTTTGGGGTCCCCACGGGGCAGGTCATGAGATCTCATGTGCAGCCAGTTCTGGGGCATCTGGGCACAGTTAATGCCCCCCCCACCCCCTCACCTCGGCAGCCATGTCCCAGCGGCCAACACCACACACAGCTCAGAGGACCCGGCCTCAGGACCAGCTCCTGTGCCTGCCTCTGGACCTGGAGCCCCCTGGGCACGGGGGACCCCGATCCCCTCTCCAGTGCTAGGGGAAGAGCCCCCCCCTTGCCAAGCTTCAGCATCTCGGGACCTCCCGCCAGGGTCATGGATCCAGCCAGGGCCTTGGTGGGGAC